CCTCAAGCCAGGTAGAAGTAATCCCTTAGCATTCAAATAATGCTTTTGCTTTATTTACTAATTGAATCTTGCAATCTTAAAATCTTGCTCAGTTAATATTTTTTGGATTTCCTACCCTACCTTTCCGTTAAGGTATCCATGGTTACCACACCATAGGTCCACTGACCATACTAATCTTTGGAATGGGAAAGGAAAAACAACAACAACAACAACAAATTATCAGAGCGCAAAATGATCTGTTTTCAGGCATTAAGCTGTCAGGTAGCTGTGAGTTCCGTGAAACAAAGGCATTATTTGCCGTTTAGCTGTGATGTTAGTTAATAATCTTGGAATGAGAGAAAAGAAATTGGGAGATGTTAATGGTTTGGCTTTACTCAGAGGATCATTTGATGCCAATATGAAAGCCAAGGAGAGGAGGCAATTATGCACAAGTCACATGCATCCTAGTTTCAGTATGGAAGCTTACATTTCAAACCTAAGGTCAGGAAAAGAACATGAAAAGTTTTACTACAAAGTCTAGACATGAGGGAGATTTAAGGGGAGGGGGGAAGCACATTGCAGGTGTCAGATAATCTAGTCTGATTATCTGAGCTGTGCTAGCTATAGGGGAACACTTACCCTTCAGTCCAGCTAGAAGTTAGCAGGGTAAGAAGGAACAAACCAGAATAACATAAAGACTAGCAACAAGGCTCAGGAAAGCAGACAGGAGTTCTAACCTAGCAGCTAAAGTTCTTGGGTCTGAGCAAAGATTGAACAAGAAAACCGAAAAATGAAACAAAACGAAACAAAACAAAACAACAAAAATTATCAACTTTCCTCCCAACCCCCAATCAACAGTAACCCACCCTTCCCCGCTAACTGTTGAAGCCAACTGTAAGTGGCAGAAAAAACCAAACAAACAAGTAAAAATTGAGCCATTTTAAAAAACACCCAACTTGGGGGATCTTGGTTGTTACCAGTTGTTAGTTGAGAACAGACATTAAAAAATGAGAGTCATTGCAAAGTGTCATATCGAGTAATCATTGACCAAATGCCAAAATTGAAAGCATACCCTCCCTCCCAGCCCATTTGGAATGAAAACTGAGATACTAATTTTTACTGTTCCTCCGGCATAGAATGGGCAGGACTAAGGTGTCACCACGAGAGGCCACTTGGCATGATAAACCGTGGCAACACTCAGCTACGTACATTTGGACAGTGTTTCCAAGGTAAGCAACGTTGGCCTTCAACATTGGAAAATTGCACAAATTTGATTTTGCAAGTTGTATAGATAGGTACTAACTGAAAATGTTAACAAAAAAAGGAAACAATTCAAATCAACAACAACAAGACGAAACAAGCAAACAAAAACCCCAAAAGAACAAAAAGAAATTAAGAATTGATAAAACCCTCTCCAAGCCTTTGTAGAGTCACACACAGACTAATGAATAGCAGGATCTATTTTTTCCCCCCTGGTTTTTAGAATTCCATAGAAATACTCCACTCCACTCTTTCTTAGGCGTGTCTTTTTGTTTTGAAATTGAGTTTTTTGAAATTGCAAAAAAGAAAACACTGCATCCAGACGTAGTCTGTTATATGGAATTTAGACCCAAATAAATGCAAGATTACTCCCAAGTTTCTCCAACTAGAAAATGTTCTATTCTCAAGCTTTCTTTGAGTAGACAGCAACATGACAAGACTGGAGTGTTTATTTTTCTCTATCCCTACAACAAAATTTCCCCAGTTCTATTCAGCTTCCCTTTGCCATGTAAAATACTAGTAAAGCAATTACTAAATTAAGCCCTTGAAAACGGCAGTTACTAAAGATTATTCACTAGCAAGAATGGCAAACAGTTTAACCAAAAATACAAAAACAGGGTTTAATGAGGCATGTCAGAGTTAAGTATTCAACAGTGACCCTTACCTTTTGAAGTCAAGGAAACCGTTTTTAAAATGCAATACTTGATTAGTTTTACTTTCTGTTAGCCAGAGAATATGTGATTTACTTAATTTTGTGTTGTAATTTAACGAAAACAAATTAATAGTCAGATTAGAAGCCTAATATAAGTGAAGGACCAACACGTGGCTGTTTGTGACTGTGCTATGTTTGTTCAGCGCTTTTCTGAAATCTTGTTTTGGTACAGTGGCCAACCTTCTGGGTTCACCAGGACTGAGGGGTAGATATGTTATCTCATATGGAGACTAGTATGATGCCAAGCTTGTGGGGCCTTGACTGAATTTTTCTGTTGATGCCTAACAGCTAGCATTTTTATTTTATAGCCACTTAAATTGTATTAAGAGAGGAAATTCTAAGTTGAGAGCCTCTTTGTATTCCCACAAAGAGACATTCCACTCAGCAGCTTCGACTACTGGTCTCCTTTCTAAATCAGTGTCTGCCTGCATTTCATTTTACCTCAGAAGAGCCTCGTGGTAAGAAGCTGCACTGCATCCTGAAGGCACTAGGCTCAAATCCAACTGCTCTGTGGGAGAATGATGGACAATCTCCTCCCGTGTGGTTCCCGCCTCTGAAAACCTGCCGGAAGCTCAGCTATGGGTCAGTTCCTACTCAACTGTACACACAACAAAACAATTCTAATGAAGAAAATGTGAGGTCAATCACAAATTGCAGAGAATTTTTAATACAGGCAGAAGATGGAACAGAGACCTAGAATACAAGGTGAAATGACGATCATTTGGAAATAAGATCAGTATTTCCCAAATGCCACCTGCGATACATGTTTTATGAGGTTTCTTTGCATGATAATTGTAATTAGGGATTCTTTTTCTAATTCAAAGGTAATGTAATTTCACGAGGATATTACAGAATGCTCTGTTTCCCAATTTATTAAAAGGAGCCTGTCAGACAAGGTGTAAAAGAGGGATTCTAGGATTTTATTTATTTATTTTTTTAATAGAACAAAGGCTACCTGTGTAGTTGAGGACTTGAGCACTCAACTGTTGACCAGATTGTCAGCTGTCTAAAGCCATCAGCTGCTCCTTGGGACAAAGATGTTACAGTGCCCTTCCTTAAAGATTGCTGTTGTTGATTGCCTTCGAGTCGAGCATGGCTCATAGCGACCCCTATGAACAAAAGGCCTGAAACCTTTCTATAACTATCAACATTTATCAAAGTTCATAGAGTTTCCAGAGGCGTGTTGTTTAGGAAGTGGACGCCACTCCTGCTTCCAATCCTATAAAGATTACAGTCTTGGAATCTCTGTGGAACATTCTACTCTGCCCTGGAGGAGCGCTATGAGTCGGAATCAACATTAAGTGCAAAGGGCTTGGTTTTAGTTACCCTAATTAATGACCAAAACATAAGAAAGAGATGTTGCTGTCTCTTTTTATGGCTTTCAAATTTACTTAAAAGCAACAAAATGCTGAAGAAAACAACTAGAGAATGGTGCACCTGGTGGTGACTGTGGCTAGGAGAGCTGTCCCCTGCCACCTAATCCTATCTCAACCTCTTCTTTACCATGTTCTGGCTTCTTACTGTGTTCCTGTTCCCTGCAGGAGAAGCGGCAGTGAAGGCAGTGTTGTTTACAATATTCCATTAGGAATGCTTCTGCCTTAAAAGAGCCTGTCAGTACTGGGCAGAGAGTCCAGGACACCGTCTAAGAAATAGCATTTGCCATTCAGAAAGAGTCACATTCCTCCATCAGCAAGGATTTGCAGGACTGAATGACGTAGAAATAGACATGGGGTGGAAGTCGTTCAAAAGCAGAGTTAACCCTATCTGGTGGCTGTAGTTTCAGTGGTACTCATTCTATATTCATATTCTGCCTTAGAACAACTCTGTGAAAAAACTCCAACAAAGGCCAAGTTTCTGCTTTGGGCCTTTGCTTTTGCCTTCTCTTTTGCTTCAGTTCTCTCTCCTCAGATATTTGCAGGATTGACTACATACCATCTGGATTTAAGCCTTTCTTAATCATCTCTCTAATGTTCCGTCCGCCCATCCCACCATTGCATGATATACTTTATGGTATTTAGCAAATTCTGAAATGATCTCATTAATTTGTTGACTTGTTTGTTTTCTAGACCCTCCCTACTGGACGCAGACTGATGGATTCCCTGCAGTAAGAGCTGAAAGCTCCTCTAGCATCTTCATTAATACATCTCCATCATGTGGACAGTGAACTGTACTCCATGAGTGAATGTCACATTAAAGAAAAAGAGCATCATGGTTACCTGCTGATTTGTACCTGAGATATTACGAATTGGTTTGATAGTCGGGCTAAAGAACGAGTCTCTAGTTAGGGCTAATATTTGTACCTAAAATGGATTACTATCTTCTATGTTTCCATTTCCTTTGTTTTAGTAAATGTCTCCAACACTGTGCTTGGTTTCACCCTGTGCATCAGATATGTTGGGGGATGAAATCATCCTTAGGCAGTAAGGAAGGATAGAAAAGTAAAATGAAGGCAGAGATAAGAGAAGGAGAAGTTGGAACATTCAATGTGGCTGTTTAAGAGGATGGTTTCAATTTTAGGTCCTGGTATTTTTACTGCATAGCTCAGAATAGGATTTTAGGTACCATGTTTTGTTGTTTTATTTTATTTTTTTAAAATTTCTTCACTGCATGTGATAATGTCATCTTTTATTTTTAAATGCTTCTAAATTGCAGATTTAAATTTATTTCAAATCGAGTCCTATTTTTAAATTACTTTTAACTGGAAGAAATGAGGCAAGGACATAAATAATATACTCTATTTGAAGGATTCAAACAAATACGTATTGGGCTGTGAGTTCCGAGCTTTTACTAAACCAAAGAGATCAAAATCTACCTACAGTTTACAAGGATGTTCTGTCCTCAGGAGAAAATATGTCAAGTATTGCACTTTAAAAATCACTTTTATCTAACGTTATTTGTCCCAACTTTCTCCCTGCACTCACTACATGCTTTCAGCAAATATAATTTTACAAAATCAATAATACAGAAAAGCAACTAGGTTTTCTCATTAAGTTTCGGAAGATTCACTTTATTCTATGGAGCTAGTTTGAGAAATGACATGTTTACTTACAAAATTGAGAGATGGGGGCATCCAGCTGAGGTACATTTCCTCCCTTGGCGTTGAGTTTCTGGACTTGGGTTGGAGGCACAGGCTTGTGGGACTGCCCAGTGGCCCTGTACATGGCTTGGACCCACAGGATGCGATCTTGCTCATCATCACTCGCAAATATCACTGTATCTCCTTCTTTGACGGCATTGAAGAAGGCTCGGCCACCCTCCAAACCTGGAACAAAAGGGAATCACCACTTCTGCTGGGCTGAGGAACTCCTGGATGGTGCACAGGATTACGCACTCACTGACTGTTGGATTCCACCACGTAGACTGAAGGTCTCGGGAACTACTTAGGAAAGAAAGGTCACAGCCATAAAAATTCAATGTAGTGAAAGAGAGATTGCCATGAGTGGAAATCAATTCGATGGCAGCTGGTTAGATTTTACCAAGCTGAGTTACAATGTTCTAGGCAGGACACAGTGCATATAAAGGAGATTCTTGTTGCCTTTTTCTTAGGCCTAAGGAGTAGAGAAATAATTTATATGACTCTTGAGATAGGAGTCTGAGGTCCATTTGACTACAGAGAGGGTTATGATGCTCAAGAGGCCTTTGGAGCCTGGCTCTAAATTCTGTTCTTCGGGAGTTGTAACTATCAAACAGGTTGCAAACTTCATGCTGCTGCTGCTAGCTGAGTAAGCATTTGCCTGAATAGATAAAGAGGCACCCTCGTGGCACACTGATTAAATGCTCAGCTGCTAAGTGAAAGTTTGTCAGTTTGAACCCAATAGCAGCTCTGGTGCTGTAGTCTGCTTCCATAAAGGTGAACAAAAGTCAAAAGTCATTGCAGTTTGAGTGAAATATCTCAGTCACAAAAGGATAAATACTGCATGGTGCCACTGTTGTAGAATGGGACTGACATCAGGGTTGGGGTAAGACTGAGAAAAACTGAATAACTTATGTATACTGCATTGAAAAAAATGAGGGAGAGAACAATTTAAAAGCAATAGATGATAGGGTATTATGGTTATCACAAGAGTCCAGAATTAAGGTTGCATAGTGGAGTGTACTCAGGGCAGTGAGAGGGTGCAGGGGGATTGTATACCAATGAAAGAATTGTTCTTTTACTTTTCAAAGAGTGACATGAACTGGGGGTCGGGGGAGGGCTGGGCAGGGAGAAAAGTGCAACAATGAATGAATGGAAATCTAAAATCTCTGTAAATGTTCATTAAAATTAATAATTATTTTTTTTAAAAAAGTCATTGCTGTTGAGTTGGAACCAACTCATAGCTGACCTTCCTGTGGGTTTCTGTAGGATGTAAATCACATGGGAAGAGACTGCCCTTTTTTCTCCCCTGGATTGGCTGGTGGTTTCAAACCAACAGAGAGACATACCTTTTGATTAACAGCACAAATCTCTAGAGACTAGGCCACCAGAGAATCCTCTGTAAAGATTATAGCTTTTGAAATCCTGCGGAACAGCTCCACTCTGTCCGACAAGGTCACTAAAGAGTTGCAATGTATCAGAATTGACTTAATGGCATAGGTTTCAGGTTTTTTATTTACATGCTTCGAGTCCCTGGGTGTTGTAAAAAGTTACTACAGCTGGGGGCGGGGAGAGGTGGGAGCAGAGGGGTGGGCAGGGTTTGGGGTGAAAGCACAGAGTTGCACAATTTGGTGGGTGGAGTGAGCGGATAAAGGAAATGGGAAGGATCTGGAAAAGAGGACTTGAAAAGACAGGGTAATTAAAGTAAACTTCTTTTATCATGAAAAAAAAAAAAAGAAAAGACAGGGTAATGATGGGCATAGTCCAATGGTGATTCATCTTATAAAGCACAGTGAATGGGAATGACTGCATGAAACACAATGTGAATGAAGGATAATGTGAAACACAATGTATACAAACTTTGTAAGCAAACCAATATAAAATAATTTTTTTTAAGAAAAGTTGTTATTATAGTTGGCGGCTAATCTAAAAGTTGGATGTCTGGATTCACACAGAGCTACCTTGTAGGAAAGGGTTGGCAATCATCTTCCTAAAAATCAGCCACTTAAAACCAGAAGAAACACTGTTCTACACTGACAAACAGCATTATTATGAGTTGGAGTCACCCTATGGCTAATGGCTACTGATGTGTTGTTGTCATTGTTGGGTGTTGTTGAGTAGAACTCATAGTGATGAACAGATGTGAGCCCTGTCTTGTGCTGTGTAATCCTTATCATCTCTGTTATACTTGAATCCACTGAGTGGCTTCCAGTCTGGATTCTGCCTCTACTACTGTGTCTAATCATGCTTCTCTATTGTTCATAGGGTTTTTGAAGGCCAAGCTTGCTTCCTGGTCTGTGTTAATCTAGGAGCTTTGCGGAAACCTGTCTACCATGGGTGAACCTGCTTGTATTTGATATACCAGTGGCATCGCTTCCAGCATCACAACAACCCACAAGTTAACCTAGTAGAGAAAACTGACAGACAAGGGCTGTACTAATAAGAGCAAATGACTGATTTATATATACTATTATTCCCCTCATCCTTAAAAGCAAAGAAGATTAAAAAGCTCTTTTATAATTTTTTTTAAAAAAGTGTTTTTTAACTTCACCTCTCCCTTTGGCTACCAGCCTATTTTTTCCTTTACAATAGAATGAGGATCTATACCAAAGTTTTTAAAAGTTTAATAAATATAAGAATCCCTTAGGTCTCTTGTTAAAATGTGGTTTCTGATTCTGTAAGTCTGGTTTGGAGCCTGAGAGTCTGAATTTATACAGAGCTTTCAGGTGAGGCAGGAGGTGTTGGTCTGAATATCTCACACTGACTAGAAAGGGTCTGTCTCTTTTTCCTCTTCCTTAATGTCATTAAAATTATGCTTCATGTCCATGAAAACATTTCTTAACTAGGCAGCCAGTGACATCCACATTACTAAATCCAATGATCAATTTAAAGCTCTCATTTTTATCTAACTCATCGCCTGGTTAGCAGTCTTTGACACTTACTGTCTTTTCTGTAAAGGAGCCTTGGTGGTCTACTATTAATGTGTTGGTCTGCTGGATGAAAGATTTGCATTTGAACCCACCAAAGAATATGCTGATGGTATTAAATGTCAATATCCAACCTGTACTTCTTTCTTGAGTCTCAAACCTGTTAATCTATTGACTTTCCTGATTTTTCCACATGAATAGTTAATGGACATCTGAAGCTTATCTCAACCCAAAACCCTGGTCTTTCTCACCAATCTCCTCTCATCTCAGTAAAAAGCTGAGTTCCTCCCTTCAATTTCAACAGAAACTTGAGATAATTTCTGACTTCTCATTTTCAGTCACAATCCAGTCTTAATGTATCATGAAATACCGATGGTTATACCTTTAAGAAACTGTCTTCAAGAATTCAATGTCTTCTACCACCTGGTGCCTACCTGGTATTCAGTCATGATCATCTCTCACCTAGAATGTTGTAATAACCTCCTATGCAATCTGTATTCCTCATAGGTATAACTCCGTTTGGCTGCGTCTCAATCCAGTGACTAGAACAATCACTTAATTACATGAGTGAGATCATGCCACTGCCCTGCTTACAACCTACCAGTGGTTCCACATTTCACTGAAGAAGAGCCAGGCTCTATACCAATTGCTTCTCCAATATCAAAGACTTTCTTTTTGTAGCTCTGCATTGCCCTTTCTCTTTTTATCTCTCATCATATCTTTTTCATGTATACACATGCACTCTTTTCAGTGTACCAGTAGCCTCTTGGTATTCGTATATATTCATCTCAGAGCTTTCCACTTGCTATTCCCTATGCTTGTAATACTCTTCTCCCATATATCTGCATATCTTCCATATATCCTGAGCTCTAGTGTTCCAATGCCACTCCTACTGATTTCTCTTTATTCTATTCTCTTCTCTTCCTTGGTTTCCCCCGCCCCCTTTCCATAGTTCTTATCCCCTTCTAACAAATGATATAATGTGCTGTATAAAGAAAAGGGATTTTTTGTTTCTGGATATATCCCTGCTACCTAGAACCATACATGTCACATTGTAGGGCTCAGTAAATACTTGTTGAATGAATGAACATTCTGTAAACTTTTCTGCAGATAATTCTTGAGGTTAACATTAAGTGAAGGTGGGGGAAGGAAGTAGAAACCTCTTTTTTGGACTCGGGTTGAAGGGAAGTAGAAACCTCTTTTTTGGGCTCAGGTTGAAATTGTACTGTGCCCTTCAAAATGGTATCCCAGAAACTTGTCTTTATTCTAGAATAGCTGAGGTCTGGTGGGAGTTGCACGTCTAAATCAAAAGCCTTCTCTCTCTGTAAGTTTGACTCCACTAGCCAACCCTTGGGAGAAGGCTGTATAATTTCCATCCACTCGATTTACAGTCTTGGAACTGCAGTATTGTGGGTTGGTTTCAACTCAAAAGCAATGGGTGAGTGAGCAACAGAGTGAATGAGTCAGTACTCTCTCAGGAGCCACAATTGTACAGTCAGTAAAGTACCTAATTGTTAACCAAAAGGTGAAAAGTTCAAATCCACCAGCTTCTCTGTGAAGAAAGAGGTGGCAGTTTGTTTCTATACAGACTAAACCACAATCAAGCCGCCTGCCGTGGAGCTGATTTTCACTCAGCAATCCTCCTTTGGATTTCTTGGCTGTAAATATTTATGAGAAAAGACTATTTCTCCCATGGAATGGTTTGTGGATTTGAACTGTTGACCTTTCCGTTAGCAATGTAATACATTAATGGACTGTTACTGTTGTTGTGTAACATTGAGTCAGAACTGACCTATAGCTGACCCTCCAGCGGGTTTTCAAAAGCAGTAAATCACACGGGAGGAGACTGCCTATCTTTCTTTCAAAGAACACCTGGTGGGTTTGAACTGTGTACCTTTTTGTTGGTATACAAGTGCTCAGGTCTTTCGTTCACAGGATTGCTATGAGTCGTCTATGACTCAGTGGCACTTAACAGCAACAACTTAGAGCTAAGTTGGCCTACTGAACAGAAAGTAATGCTATCAAGCCAAGGGTAGGTGATTTTAATCTGTGGCCTTCAGGCCTGGTTTTAATTGTCTTTTTCTAGGTGGCATAGCACTGGTCTGTCCATTTGCTGTACAGAGATAACTCGTGGTTACTGTAATGTTAAACACTGTGACACGGATGTGTCGAATGCGATAATGGTTACTCATGGTGGACAGTGTTCGGTGGAGCTTTGCAATTAAAACAAGCTTGGAAGCAGGAGTGGCATCCACTTCCAAAATAGCTTGCCTCTAGAAACCCTATGAACTTGGAGAATCAGTGAAAGCTATATAAGTTTTCAGGTCTTGGTTCATAGGATTGCTATGAGTCATCTATGATTTGATGGCACGTAGTAACAACAACAACAAGAAGAAGTCACCAGAACTCCCTAATGACTCCCTAAGGCGCTACACCACCAGAATGACTGTCTATAGAAGTTGTTGTTATGTGCCATTGAGTTGACTACGACTCATAGTGATCCTATGCACAATAGTTCTGAACCTTGCTCTATCTTGAGGCAGTCTCACTGTCTCTGACACATTCCTGCCCTCGTTATTATGTCAATCCATCTCATCCAGGGTCCTCCTCTCCTGCACAGTCCCTCCACCCTTTCAAGCTTAATATCTTCCAGACTGGTCCCTCCTGGAAACACTTTGGACACCCTATGTGACAGTTCTACTGTGTCCTAAAGGGTCACTATGAGTCAGAGTTGCCGCGATGTAGTGGGTTTGAGAATTCTCTGGAGAGAAATAGAACTTTAAATCTTCATTATATTTCTCCTCTTCTCATAATTATTAAAAATTGAAAGAATGAGTGAGTGACTGTTGTTTTGTGCCATGGAGTCAGTTCTGACTCAAGGTGATTTCATGTATTATAATGTTTCCAGAAACAGAAAGTCAGGGCTTTTCTTCTCTACTTCTGAGTGAGTTTGAATTACCAGCCAAAAGCAAACCCTGTATATTACCCAGAGACCTTCAGTGATTTGAACAAACTCATTGCCATTAAGTCAAAATGCTTCAAAGGTGACCCTCCAAAGGGTTTTCCAAGGCTGCAAATTGCATTCAATCAGATTGCCCATCTTTCTCCCATGGAGCCATAGGTGTATTTGAACCCTGCACCTTCTGGGTTGGCAGCCCAACTCCCTAGTGGGCAACCTCCTACCCACTGGGCTACTGATTAGCAATTCTGAAATTTCCCAAAAGATGTAGTTACTGACCAGTCTGACTTCTCCACTGTCCTGGGAATGCTATGAATTAGCTTCTTCTCTGCAAGATGGGGTGTGTGCTGATTAGTTCATTTACAGGTTTGGGAACAATGAACAGGTATTTTATATAGACGGTCTAGTGGTGCAATAGCAATAAAACATGTGCTTTTTGGCAGTTTAAATTATGATGTACTATTTTGCCTAACTTCTCCTGGAGTGTGTTTATATGCATTATTCGGGTTGCTGATGGACAGCTGGGAGAATCTACTGAAACTAGTGGGTGACAGGATTAGGATGGAAATTCTGGTGAAAGTGGGAAGAAAAAGAGGAGCTTTGAGGGATATCTTAGCTCCCGAGAAGTGAGCACCAGGGAGTTAAAAGACGAGTGGCTCAATGGACCTTCCACACTTCAAGGTCATCTTTGGGATACTTCGCTATAGTAAGTGAATACTAAGACATCTCTGAAAGGCTATCCTTCTCCTCTTAACTGTCTCCCCTGTCCCAGCCTCTGCTGCTGGGCAAGGGGGATACAGTTTCCTGGTCTCACTGTCAGAAAACCAATTCTTGGAGTTCCTTCAGTAAGTTGGAGATTCCTCCCCACTGTGCAGTTACTCAGAGGTAGAGACAGAAGGAACGGAAACTGTTTTCAGGTAGGCCTCTGAAGAAAATACTCTTATTTGATACATGAGGAAACTGAGTTACCCTAGTGAAGGTAATAAATAACTCATGGACATGCAGTTGCATTCTAAGTGACAGAGCTGAGGTTCTAATCCAAGTCGTTGGGCCCTAGGGCTCGTCCTGCTGCAAAGCCTGACGAACAGGACTTGGTCCACAGTACTAGCCCTCTTAAGGGCCAGTAACAAGAGGGTGGAGTAGGTTCCAGGAGCAAGTGCAAAGAGAAACAGCTAAAGCAGCTGCAGCTGTAACAGCGACAGTAGCAGAGAGCAACAGAGAATGCAGAAAGCATGAGAGGTCAAGGAAACATGCTTGAGACTAAGAAGAAGAAGAGAGAAAACAACATAGGCTTTTGAAAGGAGAAATAAGCATGAGCATCTCAGTTTCTGCTATTAACACAGCAGCACTTTAAAAAAAGACAGACATTCCTGAAGACTGGATGTGCAAAATCTAGTGTGTGGCATTGTCACAGAGGCCACAGGCTCTGCATGGACAACATGGAGCACACTGTCCCACAGGTAGTGACCCGCCAAAAACCACAACACGTGGGAATGGATGGAGGAAGACCAAGCAAGGCTACTGATGGTCAGTTGCTAGGGAGAGGAACGGGTGTTTTAACAATCCATGTGGATGTAATCCACGCATAGTGCTATAAGAAGTCTATATGGAATTGTGTAAGACTAATCCAGTTTTTTATAAATAATGTAATTCAATTACTCTGAATGACAGTCCTTTTATTTGGCATCTGAGTGAAATCTGCCCCCCCCCATGCTGTTATTAAAGGAAGGAAACTCAATCATAGCCCCTACACCTATGGAAAAGGCCATAAAGGTGTCTAGTCAGTAAACACTTCCACCAGAGTAAGAGAAGGAATGATGGATCCAAAAGTTTTTCTCCACTTGTACAATCACCTTCCAGGGAGAAGTTAAGGAGACTCCACAAACCCATGAGGACCTGGTTAAAATGTGCATTATAGATATATCTAGCTTGCAAATTATACAAGACTCTTCTAGAGTGTTTGTGTAAACATAGTTTCTGTTTCTTCCCTATTCTGGATCATAGGTTAGAAGTGGAGGCCAGAAATGTCTATTTTTAACAAGCACCTGCTAAGAAATTCTGAGTTAGACTTTTCTTGTAACAACTGGCAGTATTTAAAACTCCATTTCTAACCAAACAGTACTTTGGAAATAAATAGGATGTGGCACTGGAAAAGAAGGAAAAGCAGCTGCTTATGACCCTTGAGAGCATAAACTATTAACCTTCCACTTAACTGTTTGTTAGAGGAATTTATAAACTCTATACCATGAGATTAAAGAAGAAAAGGTGGTTTCCAAATGCATGTTACTCCTTTGTGTGTAACGATAGAAAACTTTCTCCTTCTCATCTTAGGGAGAGAGATTTGTTGTCATATAATAAAATGACCACCTATAGCCTTGGCCTAGCTGTAAATGTAGCTTTGTTTTCCCCTAAGTGCCAAAGAGGAGATGCGGATTACATTCACAGTGTCAGCTCTGTACCTTTTGGCCTTTTGGCATCTCTGCTGTTTAATTGATAAGATGCAATCCTGGCCTTGGTTATGTTTATATCCTGGGGTTGCCGTGAGGGCCAAATGCAACTGCGTAAAAGAAAATGAGCTTGTAAACTAGCCGAAAAGGAGTTATGATCATAAAATGATATTGATTTTCCTTCTCCTACTGGCTCTTTAGTCTTTTACTTTAATATCTGCACTTATAACAGAGATATGGAAAGAAAGACGACATCTATTTCTCTGGAGGAAACTCAATGATTTACAAACAAATCATCACAGAACATCCTAAGGGTCTCTCTCTGTATTTTTTTTAAATGCAGGCTCTGCACACTCTCAATGAAATATCACATGAGATTGATTGCTTCAAACTTGTGGATTCTATTCATTAAGGAGGATTTCTAGGCAGAGCTTTTAATTCTCGCCTTATGTGGTCAGCTTTGTATCAAGCTCTGGCAGGATGCAAATTACAAATAGAAATCCAAGGGCCTGCGGCTGACCCGGGCTGGTCTGCAATGGGCTTCTGAAAACAATGATTTTGCTAAGTGGACGCTGATGCGTCCCTGCCACACCTTTTCAGGTTAACACCCCATCTTCTCAAATTCTCATGTGAGTTTTCCCCCTCCCCTCTTTTATGTGTATTTTGTTGCATGTGGAAGAGCAATATGGGAGTAGAAAAAAAGGTTTTGGGCCAAATAATGCAGTATGGTTGGAAATGCTTCCCTTGTGCAGATTTGGCATAAAAATAAACTTCTCCGGCAGAGGGCTGTTGGTACTTGTTGTTCATTAATATGCTGAAATGATTTCGCACCCCCCCCCCATTTTGAAGGTTGTTTGAGACTGATTTCTATTCAATTTTTTTTTCTGGAGAAAAGATAAAACGGGTGGAGGGAGAGGTGTGAGGGGACAGGAAGTACAACTTATGCATCAAAGAACTTTTAAGAAATACTAGCATTTGCATGGTCTCTTGGCTACATAAGTCTTTGGAGTGTAGATGCCTAAGCCTGTAGATTGATAGCTTCTTTGGGGAAAACGACATTTGTGGAAGTCTTTCTTTTTCTCAGGGCTGAAGCTAACCTTATTAGCTTTGGGGTTATAATTCTATTCTCTCTTATAGAAGAAATAGAGGTACAGGGCAGTCCAGCTTGGCTTTGGATATATACTTGTCAAGTTCACATATCACTGGGGGGGAAACGAAACAAAACAAATACTCCAGTTTACTTACAGGACTTCCTTCTTTCACAGAGAATGATTTTTCAGGACTCCGGATTGTTTTGCTGTGGACCACTGAGTTGAAACCAACTCATAGCTGAGCCTCTGAGAGTTTTCAGAGGCAGTAAAACACATGGGAGAGGATTGCCCTTCCTTCTCCCGCAGAACAGTTGGTGGACTTGAACCGCATCGCATGCCTTTGGGATAGCAGTGCAGCTTTTTATCCCCAGGCCCCCAGAGCTCCTTGCATCCTCCTGAAGGTGATGTATATACATGACGTAGGTGTTTGGCTTTCATCGCCTTATTACACAGGTATGGACAGCCAAATGTTCTATGGGTTCCTTTTGTTGTTAAACAAGACACTGCCTTGAGTAAATCCAAAGCCTTTTGGTCTGGGTGCCATTTAACCTACCAACATGGCGACTCTAAGGGCAGAGCCATGGTCACCTAGATGCCTGGCCGAGAGTGCTGGACAAAGCTGATCACTGATCTGGGGAGTGGGGATTCTGAGGGAGGGCAGTACCTGGCTGGGGATCGGTGTAATCCACAGTGTAGCCATCCAGTTGGAGAAGTTCCTGGGGCTCCGCCTTTTTCTCCCGGTAACTGCACATGGCAAACGTGTACTGACTGACCTGGAGGAGGAAAAGCACAGATTTCGAGGTAGATGCTTTAGAAATCCTGAGAAATCACCCCAAGAAACCTCCACGTTCAATCACATCCCCTCCCTGAGGCCCTGGACATAGCAGATAGGCTCAACTCGCATATGTTCCCTTCTTGGCTGAGTGTCTTTGAGCAGCTGACTTAACCTCTCTGGTCCTCTATTACCTCATCTATGTGGTTGTGTACCATTGAGTCAGAACCTCATCTGCATATGGGGATATTCAAAGAAACAAGGCCATTCTGGCTTAGTTGTTATGGGCCGCTGAGTTGGAACTGATTCCTAGCTGGTTCTCTAGCCTGTTTTGGAAGCTGTAAATTGCCTGGGAGGAGGATGTCCATCTTTTTCCCAAGGAGCAGCCAATGGATTCAAACTGCCTGCCTTTGAAGTTTAACAGGACAGAAAGTAATAAATGTTGGAGAGGATGTGGCGAGATAGGGACTCTTACATTGTTGGTGGGATTATACAATGGTACAACCACTCTAGAAGGCAGTTTGGCACTTTCTCAACTAGCTGAACATAGAAATTCCATATAACTCACCTATTCCATAGCTTGGAATATACCCTGAGAAAATGAGAACTGAGGCTCAAACGGAAACTTGCACACCCATGTTCATAGCAGCATTATTCACCATTGCAAGAACATAGAAACAGCCCAGATGTCCAACCACAAACAAATGGATTGAGAAGTTGTGGTACATTCATACAATGGAATACTACGCAGCACACAGGAGCAATGATTCTGTAAATTACTACCAAACTTGAGAGGGACTGGAGAGCATTATGCTGAGTGAACTAACTCAGTCCCATCAGGACAAATACTATAGAAAAGCATTATTGTAGAAGGAGCATGAGGATCCAAGGGGGGAGAGTGGAAATAAAGGGGTGAGGGTGGGCGGGACAGTGGGGTGCTAATCACAGAGTTGCACAACTCGATGGGTGGGAGGGTGAAGGAAATGGGAAAGATCTTTTGTGAAAAACAATGTATTCAAACTTTGTAAATAAATCAGTATAACATTTTTAAAATAAAACAGAACTGCATGTCTTTGTATTGGCCGTGCAGCTCCTGTGACTAGGTCACCAGAGCGCCCCCCTGGCTTGGAGTGAAGATCAAGTGAGTTCACAGGTGTTTAGAACGGATGTCTGAAAGTCATTGAATATGTTACATCACTCAAAGAATTCATTGTTGTAGAGCCCGCACCAACTCAGCAGACCGTTCACTGGGCTTTCAGAGGCTGCAAATCACATGGAAGGAGAAGGAGATTGGCCATGTTCCTTTGTGGTAAATTCCAACAGCCATACCAGCACACATATGAGTTAGCAACACGGCTCTGTACAGAGTTATAGATATCATCACAATTGCTGTTTTATTGTAATTGGTTAAATGGCAAGAAATTTCTATATTTTCTTTGCCAAAGCTGGCTGCTTATGGATAGTATTTTAGGTTCTCTCATATTACTGCAGTCCTGGCTCTGAATGACAACTCCCAGAGACATCTCAGGCCTTCTGGTCACAAAAAAAAAAAGAGAGAGAAAAGAAACACATCTATTCAGACCAGAACTACTTCTTCTTTCTCTTTTTGGTAGCATTTGATTTATTTGCAGGCCAATGGCATGGACCTACAGGGCTTTCCCCCGTCTCCTCCTGCCGCAGACAGAGCCCTTTGGGCTGCTTTGCAAAGTCTTTCCTTCATTGTAGACAAGTGCAGGAGTGACACCCTGTCAAAACAATGAGTGCTCGATCGCTAGGTGCCAGGCACAGCGGAGCAATCCTCAGCCCCGGTGGCGTGGCCGTCGTCCCTGGTCTCCTAAGTGGCAGCTCTCACTCGAAGCTGGTGCCATCCGCCTGACATGTGGCACCACTGCCCAGACCAAGTGGCACTTGCAGCTGGAGGCCTGGCCCCAAGACCCTCATGGGTGCGCCCCACCCCAGTGTGCACACTTCGTGACTCCACATCTGGATCACCGACTGCAGCCTGTGGGAGAGCAAAGACCCTCCCAGCTCTGAGCCAGAAATGCATGGGCAGCTTCCTCGTCTGTGCATGTCACATGTCCCGGCAAAGGGGGTGCCGCATCCCTCACACCTAATTTTGCTTTATTAAAAGAGACATTTTCCCAACTGACATTTGACTTTTCATTTTTATTCTTCTTCCCTTCCTCCCTCCGACCCTCCCGCCCTATCTCTCTCCCTCTTTTTCCCTCTCCCTTTTTAAGAAGAGGGTAGAAATTGGCTCACTGGAGCCCTGCACAAATCTCCTGCAGCAAAACCCCACAGAAGCGGGGTGTTCACTGAAGAGATTCATGGTTGGTTTATGTGCTGCTGCCCTCTGTCGGTTCCTGTTGAACACTTTTCTTCATAGCTTGGGTGTGTGTGTGTGTGTGTGTGTGTGTGTGTGTGTGTGTGTTTTAAATGCATGTATATGGTTTGCACAAACTGCTTCCTACATTGCAAGGCCTTGATGGGCTTCAAGGGAAACATGAAGCCAGATCACAGAATATTTTCACCGCTGGATGTGCAAACTATGCTGTCGGCTCAATTTAAACTCAGAGAGATCCTTAAAGGATAGAATTGAACTGTCCCAAGGATATAAATCTTTACAAAAGCAGATTGGCAGATTTTCCTCTTGGGTAGGTTCAAAATATTGACCAGATTAGTTGAGTGCTTAACCACTGCATCATTCCATAGCAGGCATTCACTTTGTTGTTGTTGTTAGGTGTCATGAAAGTGGCTACAACTCATAGAGACTGGGGGAAAAAAGGAAAGGAAAAGGAAAGAAAAGAAAGAAAAAAGAAAAGAAAAGAAAAGAAAAGAAAAGAAAAGAAAAGAAAAGAAAAGAAAAGAAAAGGGACTCTTCTACTCTGTAACCGAAAAATGCCTCTCCAAGCATGGTGACAACCCTTTCCAACCTGTGACTGCCCCAAGGACAACAAATTTCCTGTGGCCCAGATGATACTGATGACAGAAACTGTCAGAAAGGTCGATACAGTGATTTTTTTAACCTCTCCTTGAAACATCAAATAGTTATTTGGTAAAGTGATTAGTCACCCTAATAGATTTGCCTAGATGCCCGCTCTTCGGAGAGGTCTCTCACAGTAGATTTCTCCCCCACCTCAATGCAATCTATCTTTTCATTTCTTGATTGTTTTTACCATGGTGTATGTTTTGGTGCCAAGTAGCCTGAAATCACTGACACCTTCAGTCTTTTCACTATCTGTTGTGATGCTATCTATTGGTCTAGTGGTGAGGATTTTTATTTGATTTGATTTTGAGATAGAATTCATATTGAAGGTTGTGGTCTTCAATCTTCTGCAACAAGTACTTCAAGTTCTCTTCACTTTAGCAAGCAAGGTTGTGTCATCTGTGTAACATAGGTTATAGATGAGTCTTCTTCCAATCCTGCCTGATGCCATATTCTTCTTCATAGCATCCAGCTTCTCAAATGATTTCTTAGCATATTTACTTAGACTGAATAAGTATGGAGCAAAGACACAACCTTGATTCATATCGTTCCTGATTTTAAACCATGCTGAGTTCCCTTGTTCTGTTCTGACAAATACTTCTTGGTCTATGTATAGATTTTGCATGAGCACAACTAAATATTATTGTCATTCTATTCTTAATATTATCCATACTTTACTATGATTGCATAGTCAATAAAACATAAATAAATATCTTTCTGGCATTGTCTCCTTTTAGCCAAGATCCATCTGACATCAATAATACGATCTCTTATGTCATGACCTCTTCTAAACCCAGCTTGAATTTCTGGAAATTCCCTGTCAATGTACCTCAGGAAACTTTCCAAAGTGCTAAAGAGCAGAGATGTCAGTTTAAAGACTAAGATGCACCCAATACAACCATGGTCTTTTCAAAGGCTTCCTATGCATCTGTAAACCGGATGATGAATACAGATGACAAAAGAAGAATTGATGCTGTTGAGTCGTGGTGTCAAGTCCGCCTTGGAGGAAGTGAAAAGGTGATCTGTGGAGGAAAGGGTGGAGAAGCTTGGCGGCTCACATACTTTGGGCATGTTGTCAAGGGGCCAGTCCCTGGAAAGTCAGAGAGTTAGAAATAGAGAGGAATATCCTCAACAAGATATTACAGTGACTCGAACAATGGGCTTGAGCATATGAGAGATCTTGAGGTTGGCACAATGTTCAGACCTGTTATTCACAAAGTCGCTTTGAGTTGCAGTCAATGCTATGGCACCTAACAACAACAGTGGCAGTGGTGGCGGCGGCGGCAGCTGCAGTTATTATTTATGTTCACTTGAGCTCACTTTATGCTCGAGTGGCCTAGTGGGTAAGAAGTTGTGCTGCCAACTCAAAGGCAGGCAGTTTGGATCCACTAACTGCTCTATGAGGAAAAGTTGGCCAATTTCCTTCCCGGTGATTTAGTCTATGAAAACCAGCTTGAGAATCAGGTAGGAGTTGGTTATGACTTGATGGCATTAAAAAAAATAGAGATATATTCACTTGAGATCAGACAAATTCCTCAACAGGAAGGTGTTATTTCAAGAGTTACGCATTTACTATACTACATGGGTTGAGGCTTTTTGATCATTCCTATTTCAGGTGCCTGCTTTCCGGAGCGCTGTGTGCTGCTGCCCTCTTCTGGCTATATGGCTGAAGCTTTGGTGTGAACGTGTTTATTACTCAGTTCTGACTTAGAGTGATCTTATTCCCCACTGACTCCTTGGGAGAAAGATGCAAAACCTTCTCTCCAATCTTCTCTTGTTCAATTTACAGCCTCAGAAACCAATGGAGGGCCAGCAATGAATTGGTTCCAACTCGCCAATGAGGTAAGGTGAGAAAAAGACAACTGTCCCCCAAAGAGAGCTATCGCATAGCCTGCAAAGCTTCTCTGAAGCAGCCAGCCTTGTCCTTCTCCTCTGAAGTGGGTGTGTATTTGAACAAAAAACCCACCTTTCAATTAGCAAGCAGCCCAGTGCTTAATACACAGTGCCACTTTATT